ATAAAAACAATTAAGAACATGTATCACCGAAGAACACTATAATATGTGCAGATGCATGCTCACATCGCTTTGCAACCCTTAGGAGAGTAATACTAATATTTGCAGTGCAACATGTAAACGTACGTTGCAGATACAAACAAAGATTAAACCTATAGAAAGTTGATGTGATGTCCCCGCCGGTTCCACCAGTAGAGGGCACGGGCCAGACTAGGGAAGTCGTGTACACGAGAGGCGCAAATTAAGGTAAGGCACGCCATGGCACTCAGGCCTGTTCCTGACGGACTCGCCTTCCCATCCCTCAGTCCTCATCCTCTCATCTTCCTCTCACCATCAGTGGCTTGGTGAAGCCTGGCTAAATCGGTAAGACCCGAGGTATATGTACAACCCCACTCCCGAACAAACAATTGCTGAAAAATCCCATTATAAACAATATCTGAAAATTGACTACCCAGTCCCACCCGTAATCTGCTTTGGGGTACAATTGGTTGGCCATATATCTCTACTAACTTCAAATCTCTATCTCTACTACTTAAAAAGAACGTAAGGTTCCCATTTCATCTTTCTTCCCACCAACCCTTCGTCCAACCTTTCATGTATATGATAATCAATCATCTTAACTACTTACCTTCTGAACCAATTCCACTTTAATTTACATACCAAACTTCTAATCAAAATATAAGGTAATTCACTGACAGAATTTTATGAAAATTTATTTACACAATCGCATTATTATTAACAGGTCAATCACAAGCTAATGTATTAGAATATTTATATCCTGTTACAACGCACGAGCATTGTTCTAATAGTAGTAAACTGGGGAAACGAAGTCCTAATTAACTTTCCTGATTACCTGATCGTATCATCGTACTAGATTGCCGACCACCAAATCCCTTGACAGTCACTACCTCTGCCTTTCCATGCATCTTTCTGTTGGTGAAGCTTCTCCATGACCGTGGTCCGCAGACAGCCGCCACAACCTCCATCCGTCCTCCATCCGCGATCTTAGCCGCGAGGCACGGCCGCCTTCGGCTAGCCGCGAGCAACGATATTCTTTATGGCCCGCGTCCCGCGCCGACTGGCTGAATGAACTGGCCCACAAGCGCTCGATCCTCTCGATCCGCATCCTGCACTGGATACCCTGGAGTGACTGCCGCTGGATCCTGTCGATAGACTTCTACTGGGTACCCTCAGCACGGCGCGCATAGCCTGGATCCCCATGTAGGCTGCCCACGCCGGCTAACCTTTCACCGAGTTGACGTTTGTAGAACACCCGACAAACATCTGGACTGGGCAAATAATCGACATAAATATGTCCAGTTTCGTTCGTCATAAACACGAAAATGTGACACTGAGTAATAAAGCAGTGCCACGCGTCGAGATGTTACTCGATGGGAAACTGCCGAGTTTCAAATTCGGCAAGCAATTTGCCCAGTTTCGTTCGTTTTAAACTTGGCGACATGTGGCACTGGGTAATAACGCAATGTCATGTGTCAGGCCCTTACTGGATGGGAGACTACCTAGTTTGGAACTAGGCAAACAGTTTGCCCAGTTCCGCTGACAAAAGAACTTGATAGATATTTTGTATTGGGCAATAGGTTCTGACACGTGGCTAATTTCTATTCGTGAACTTTGCCGAGATTATTGCACTAAAACCAGGCAACTATGGTGACACGTGACATGTTCGTTAACGGCCCGTCCCATTTGATGGTGTGGTTCACCGAGTTTTTTCTATAGGAACTCGAAAAACATTGTTTAAATATTCACTGCGTTCACGATAGAAAAAAGTAGGCAATATTAATGATTGACGGGCCATGTATAGCCGAGTATGGTGCACTGAATTTGGCACTTGGCGAAGATTTCGTCTTGTTTAATATGGGCTCTGCTGAATTTTTTTTATACTCGGTTGAAATTTGGCAAGAAGTGAGATTCTAGTAATGGAGGTGGCAGATCTATGGGCAGGAACCCTCCATAAAGAGAAGAGAGAAGACAAGGTGCCAGCACATGTGCACACGATTTTGTTTTCCGATCCATGCATGATAGCGTACATATAACACGCGGTATTTTTCCGTGGCGATATCACACACGATTCTTTGACGGAAACTATGTGTGATGGATCCCCTCATTCCACACGAATCATATCGCTGAACCGTGTGCACTAGATCCCACACGGTTGTGCAATGACTTTATCATCGCCACATGGTTCGGTTTGGGGCACACGGTTTACATTCCTCCAAGGGTGAAGACTTCCCTTTGAGGATCGACATTGACCATACGTGCATTATATGTATTTGAAAGCCGTGCATGACGCATAGACTTCCCTTAAAAAATGTACAGCTTGGACAAATTCCACTCGGGAAGCATGCATGAATTGTGTATTAGAAAGCAGTGAGTTAATACCTACTTGTGCACATTTCTACCCGTACTTTGTTACTAGAAGGCCGACTTTGACCATTGTAGGAGATCCTATGTACCTAAGTCATCAGCTTTGCTTATAAAAACAACACACAAAGATTATAGTTGTGAATTAAGCTGGTTCAGGATCATGGAGCGTGCTTCTTCTTCTTCCCTCGCACGCGCTGTGGCGGTTCTAGCTATCATCTGCTGTTCCTTCGCGTGCTCGGTGGCAGAGGGCCCTGGTAAACGACTCAATTGTCGTCTCCTGCTCTTATTTTCATCCTGAAATATACAACTCAGTAGTAAATAATATTGTCATGCCGGCCGGTTTGTGTACATGCAGATACTGCAAACGGAAGGCATCAGGGGAATGGTCCTCCGGCGCCCAAGGCCGCAAGCGGGCCGCACCAGCAGACGAATTGCCTACGCTGTGGCGACCTCGTGGCTCCTCCGTCACTGATGCCGCCGCCAGGGACGTCGGCACCTGCGCCACACCGAAAGGCACTGCAGCCAGTTGCGAGTGTCGAGCCTTACGCATGAAGCGCCTCCGTATATATATCCTTGTGTAGTTGTGCATGAACGGGCGATCCATAGCTGGTGCCAAAGATTTGGATAAAGGATCAATCTACTTATGTACGTGTTATTAATTAGGATTGTTACGCACGCCTGGCTCCGCGTAGTTTCAGTATATACTAGCATGGTGTCCCATGCAAATACACAGACATCTTGTCAATGCCCTCCGTCTTCAAATAATTGTCATGGTTTTAGTTCAAATTAATTTGAACTAAAACCACGACACTTGTTTTGGGACGAAGGAGTACTATTTCCTATTTATAATTATTTTTACGAATAAGAACTTATTCATTCAGCATTCCATGCTCAGATAAGTTATTTTCATTGACTCTACATTCGTAAACAAATATTATTCCAGTTGTGTCTATATCTCATATATAATATTTCTGTCAAATGAATATTTCAAATTATGATACAGAGTTCTACAGGGTGAACGTGAGGAGAGGTAATCACGCCACATACAGATTGGTTTGTAAATAAATTTATACCATTGCAGGCTATGTCACAATTTACCTCCAATATGTGGATCTTCGCACTCTAGCGACTGAGTAAATAGCATAAAACTATCGCAATCTGAGGTAGGTTCCAGAAAACTACCACTTCAAAAAAAAAATCTAAAACCTACCACAAGATTTGTTCGCTGTTTCAAAAAATAACTAATCATCGAATGGCTAAGAAATAATAAGATTTATGATAGTAGGGCCCATCTGTCAGGCCACACACAGAGTAAAAATTAACGGTGTTACATTGGACCGTCATCTTCTTCTTCTCGCTCCCATTTTCTTCTCTTCTCTCCTCCCCCATTTCCTCCCCGCCCCCAGAGTCGGTCGTGGCCAGCAGCGCCCCGTCCCCGTCTCCTCCGTGTGGCCGCCCCATCCGGACCCGCCACCTGCACGCAGCGCCCCGCTGCTGCCACGGCGGGCCACAGCCCGCCGGAACTGCCATGGCCGGCCACCACGACGCGCTGCTGCTACCCTCCACATCAACGTCCGTGGTTAGTTCATCCCCTCGTTTCTCTGCAAGCTGAAAATGTCATGGAGTTCGTCAACTCCACCTTCACGGGTTTGTTATCCCGCCACGGCAACCATCCTCACCTATCCTGCCCCTATAGGTCCCCACAAAACAAAACTAAAAGTTAACGTGCCCTTCTCATACATCATGAGTCACGTCCACCCTATTTTTCCAGGACACATGCCACCCTTCCTGTTGTGCTGAAGCTCTTACCACAAGCACCTATCTACTCAACCGATGCCGGATATGCAAGACAATTGATGCCAAGTCCAGGAGCATATGTGGAGGCGACCAGCAAGCCAGAATCACTCACTACGTAGGGAGCGATGCATCATGGCAGCCACACGGTTGGAATTGCAACCATGGTAGTGATGCACCATTGCACAAAATGGCACAAGGTTGGACTTGCAACCATATGAAATGAGTTTACCATTACACACACAATGTGGGCACCGTAGGCTCCACAGATTATGCCATGCCCCACCTTATGGCTTTTGTGCCCTTTTACATTCAAAAAACATACATGTATTGCTTAATTTTTTCTCGCTCCAAAAAAGTGTCTTCCCCGATGGTACTTCCATTTTTTGGCTTCAGTAGCGTTTTGGTCCCCTCCCGTTGCAACCATGCAATAGCAGAGAAAATTGAGATAAAATAGTACATTGATGGTTGAATATACATGATAAATTAGACATTTTATCTTATGAAATTGTGATGCAAAATACATGCATTGATCATCATTTTTTCTCAATCTTCATTGACCCTTCCCTGTACTTCTAATTCTTTTTTTTTGAGTACATTTTCATATATTCTTATTTAATATTGCATTGCACATACCTATTTTTTCTATAGAAGATAATTACAAAATTAATAGGAGTACCACATATATATACATATTTAGAAGGAAAACAGAGTATATAATTAATATTGGTCTCTGTGGGCGCGCCCTGCCTGTTTCTGCCCGCCAGTCCCAAGCTATATATAAATATGACAAGGCCCAGCGCCATCCGGCACAAGAGGCAGCAATGGCATGCTCCTCTGTTGCCATCGAGGCTACTCTGCTCCTCTGCATCCTCGTAGCCCATGCCCATGGTTGCGGCGCCAAGAACCACACGCCACCTCCTTCCCCGGCCATCAAGAAACTGCCCTACGGGGCCACTCCTCCTGCGGCCAATTCCAGCTGGCTCGACGCCAAGGCGACATGGTACGGCGCGCGCCACGGTGCAGGGCCCAACGACAATGGTGGTGCGTGCGGGTTCAAGAACGTCAACTTGCCGCCCTTCTCCGCCATGACCTCCTGCGGCAATGAGCCACTCTTCAAGGACGGCAAGGGCTGTGGCTCGTGCTACCAGGTACTACCCGGGCCACCCTACTTTATTACTACTCCATCCGTTCCTAGGACAGTGGAATCTCTACAAAGACTTATATTTAGGAATGGAGGGAGTAGTGGACAGTGGAATCTCTACAAAAACTTATATTTAGGAATGGAGGGAGTAGTACACACTGCATGCATACGACTACATTATGGTCATATGCATGCATGTCGAGATATTCTACATAGTTTTTTTTTCTTTGCGACTGTGTGTGTGCAGCATAAGGTTGTAACTGATCATGGATGGTGGTCGATTGCGTGCAACGTAAATGCAGATAAGGTGCTTAAGGTCAAACCACCCTGCGTGCTCCGGTGTGCCGGAGACAGTGATCATCACGGACATGAACTACTATCCGGTCTCTCCCTACCACTTCGACCTCAGCGGCACTGCCTTTGGAGCCATGGCCAAGGACGGCCGCAATGATGAGCTCCGCAATGCGGGCATCATTGACATGCAGTTTCGGAGGTACCACACCCACCTACCTATTCTGCCAGTCACAACCATGACCATCGTCTTATCTTACCAAGATGATATTTTGTGTTTGGGAGACGACACACACACTGACACTGGCGAGTGGTATGGCTCTGCAGGGTGCCGTGCCAGTACCCGGGGCTGGCGGTGATGTTCCATGTGGAGAAGGGGTCGAACCCGTTCTACATGGCAATCCTGGTGGAATACGAGAACCGCGACGGCGATGTGAAACTGCTGGAAATCATGGAGTCACGTCCGGTCGCCGGCAACGGCGGCGAGATGGCTCCAACGGGGGAGTGGGTGCCCATGAAGGAGTCATGGGGATCCATCTGGAGGATGGATGCCCGGCACCGCATGCAGGGGCCATTCTCGTTACGCATCACTAACGAGTCTGGCAAGATGCTCGTCGCCGACCAGGTCATCCCCGCTGACTGGAAGCCGGAAAAAGTATACAGCTCGGTCATCCAGTTTGATTAATTGATGGATCGACCATTTATGCCATTTCAATATATATGATTCCATTGACTTTATATTTATTGTATGAAAGTAATGAAAAGAGGAGTAGGGTTATGTAATGACCTCAAGAGACGGGCTTTAAAATCATGGAAAGATTCGTAAAAATAAGAAGCATCATAGCAGTCAAAGGCGGGCTATAGGTTGTACGATTCTGTTTCTTTTGGTAGGTGCCAGCCGGAAGAACTGGTTTTTCAAAAAAAAAACAGAAATCTCGGCATTTTCAATCTGAAAAATCCAAGCAAAACTTCACCTCACAATATAATTCTACTGTGCTAATATCTACTTAAATATTTTTCATGTTTTGGTGGTCAGTGCTGCACTTTTGCTCCAGTGCAGCTCATTTTTTGCATTTTGTTATTCTCAGTAGAGTGGAAAGCAGCACAAAGAATAAGAATAGTGCACACTGGATTCAATCCTGCAACCTGGCACATGCTCGGAATGGACAAGAAGCAGAACACCCCTCAATGATATACATTTACCTATCATATGGATTGTATTTGACACTGGTGTACAATGACAATTTTGAATATCCAAAAGAAATCGAACGGTACTACTTTTTCTCAGGAAGCAGTGGAAGAGATGGTAACTGGCTGATTTCCGCAATTCCCGGCCAGAAAAAAAAATTCCTTGCTCCACGTTACATTTTCCTTCATCACTTATTCTTGAAATTTAGACTACAATTGATTTGAAACTATTATCACTAATGTAACTTAATGTTTCCTTCTGTTTTGTAATAATTTGCATTTTTTTGAAGTACCAAGTAAAGTAACATGTGGAGTGCCTTTAAAATTATCCAAACTATTTGTACAAGGAACGTACTACACTGCATTGTTTATATCAACATTAGATTTTTTTGGGAATTCATTTGCTATTATTTTGGGATTAAATGAATCTCTAGCTATTTAATAGACACAATTCAAAACTAAACTACAAGTATCTTTGAAGTGCTTATGTAAGTTTTTAGGTTCTGTCTAGAACATTTACAAAAACAAATTAAACTTTTTATTGGGAAAAACCATTACATGCATCTTATTGGTTTATATTTTGTAGAAATTTTAAATGTGGTTCGAAAAGTTACAATTGACATGGGTCATGTTTCACATCGTGACAATGCATTTCAAATTTTAGAAAATTTCACAAAACTTAGATTGTTTTACGACCTCATGAGGCTGGATCCTCAGGAGATAAGCAACAACACCCACAACCAAGTGGTAAATTCATATCCTTTATGGTTCTTCTACCGAATCTGATTCGAAAAGGATTGAAAATTGTATCTGAAGGCCGACAATTAGAAGACTGGCATTCATCCGGACTCTGATTTAGGAAAAGTCATAACCTATCACATTCACTTCAAGGAGATTAAAGCAACCATGATATTCAATTTGACATGCGACTAATGGTTTGAAAATTACTTTTCTGACTTATGTCAAAATTAATCTCACAAAATACCGGGGAATTACATTCATGACATAGAAATGGACTGCAACAAGGAGGTCCACAATCACATTACAAGACCGCAGTATGTGGAATCAGCACTGAGAAGACATTCTTGCAGAAAGGTGCACATCTACCTAGTACATGACCGTTCTGTAAGGACTTCGCTTACAAAAGATAAAATGTGGACAAATCCCACTCAGACCAGTAGTCTGCACTCATGAGAGTAACAGCGACGAATACCTACTCAATTTTTTGCTTATTTCCATCCGTCTTGTGTTGACAAAAGGATGACTTGGACCACTAGAGGACATATGCTTCGGCAATTTAAGGAGAGATGCTAGGTAGCAAAGTCTAGTCTAGAAGTTCGTAGACCTTCCAAGTGATTGTAGCACTTGCAATTCGCGTGTTCTTCACGTGCAGTCGTCATTGACCCATTCAGAAGAATCAGAACTCAGAAGTGACCGTCAGTTATCCACTAGTTATCAACAAGCTATATAAGTTATATACACATGCGAGCATGAAGCATGCTTAACTAACGCATGTTGAAGCCGGCTTCATCTTGGAATCATTGCAGCAGTGCTGATCCAGGGAGGTAATTAAGCATGCCTTCCCCGACGACAGCTGATGAATCTCCTTGCCTTCATCCAACCTTCTGCCCTGTTATGGATATATACGTCTCATGTACGTGCCAACTGCCAACTGATCTACATGCCAATTGCAGGTGGTAGGCCGTTGTTGTCGTCAAAACATACAGTTCACTTAGTGAGCGAGTTTCGATACAGTCCCCGCTGCGATGGCTATTACACTTGCAACGACAGCCCATCACGTCACCACGATTCCTTCCCTACTCCTCCCGCAGCAGCAGACATACCTCCTCCTGGTAGCCGGACGTAATACATCTTTGCTAATTCCTTCTTCTGCGTTGCGCAGCAAGCCAGCTGCAGACAGTTTACCGATTACTACTCATGTCAGCTGAACAAACAACACATGCTTGATTACGGAAGATGCTGCCCAGAGTTGACACGCCAAGAAAAATTTCAGTAAATAACTAAATATCAATAAGTAATAACAGTGAAAGAGAATGTCCCTGATATTCACTGAATATCAATATGTTCAGTAGGCACAAATATTCAGAATAGTACATAAGAATTAATTACTTTCATAATGTATTTTAGAATTTCCAAACGTTTTGTTGAGTTTCAAGTGAATGGTTTGATATTTTGGCCGAATTGAGAAGTGAAATTAAATGAATTTCGGCTCTGGGTGATTTTTTTTCTAGAACTGAAATTGTTAATGTTGAATAATCAGAAGTGTGTATGCTCAATATCTTGAGAATGAACCACAAATAATTTGTTTATGGACGTTGCTTCATCATTTTTTTATAATGAAGAAGCATGTAAGGGCATGGATAAAATTCGAGACTCATAGAATTTTGGAATCGCTAACGAAGTATGTTCAACAAACCAGGACAAAAGTATTCCTACATAAACATATTTTGGAGCATAATGTCTCTTCCATCCAATCTAACTTGAGGAGAAAAAAGAAAAGGAGAAAGGAATTGTCTCTGCATGTCGGTAGCCCCCATCCCTCCTCCCCACCCACCACACACACATGAGCATGAAACTCTTGTTTGAAATTTGAAGTGCAGAGTCGATCATCCCAGAATCTATAATCGTATCTCAATATCGATATTTGTTGGTGAGTTCCAACGTGAACACCTACACCCCTGGGCTTGACTATGAGTGATACTCCACATGTGATAAACCGATGTAGTACAATATAGTCGGTACCATCGGACAGCGTCTCCGACCGCCAACCATGGCCGGTCAGGTCACTCTTGCCACGGGTGTCTGGACCGTCCCTCTTGCCATCTCATGTCTATATATCCTACAAGTTTCGTCTATGCCACAGTCTCTTTATATGACGTGTCCAGGGGGCATGTGCTTGACTCAGAAACCTAACCCTCTTCTAATTACAAGTCAAACTGCATACTAACTCATACACACATATTTGAGACAATTCCAACAACACACCACCACCCCTCACTCCAACAGTTGTGGCGTTGTCCCTTACTGTCGTCTAAAGCTCAAAGGGCCACACTACACCTCATAATTGGTGGTCACTTCCAAGAGAGATTTGTTGATGACAAACCTATGGGAAGGCGGCCAACGCGGAGGTAGAGATGATAGAGGGAGTGCATAGTACTTGTTCTCGTTTGCGGCCAAGCAATGAGAAAAAGTTAGTGGACTTAGATTTCGTGATTTGATGGGTTTTTTTTATTTTTGCGGGGGATTTGAGATGCTATTTGGGAGGAATAGTGGGTGGGCATGTAGCCTTCCATCACAGCAACTGAGAAACTTAGGAAAATGGAACACCAAGAGCCTATGACGGATAGATATGGTGGAGAGATGCTCGAGAAGGACATGGATGGATGGTGGCAGCTGCAAGCTCGGCAAGGAAGGTGGTCCATTCTAAATACCCTCCGTTCCTAAATGTAAGGTGCATTAGTTTTTCAAAAAGTCAAACCTTGTCCATGTTTGACCAACTTTATAGCAAAATATATAAGGATTTACAATACTAAATATATAAAATATAAAAATATATTTCATGGCGAATCTAGTGATGATGATTTGGTATTCTAGACACTGTTATTTTTCTCTATAAACTTGGTCAAAGTTAGATAAGTTTGACTTTTTGAAAAAATAATACACCGCATATTTAAGAATACACCGTATATTTAAGAACGGAGGGAGTATGTTCTTGGTGAAGATTTACTCGGCAATCTCTTCCACGTATTCTCGTGTGCAATATGAACATTCGAGAAAGCTCTGAGAACACTGGACTCGGTGTAGAACATGATGGGAGGAGCGGTGAGGTCGTGATGGCCATCAGAGATAGAGAGAGAAGTAAGTGCATTGTTTATGATTCATTATATTTTTCTGGAAGAGTTTACAATTTATTAGCTCTCATACAAATATCTTTCCATCATGGGTCGCATCTATTGAGGTTTTTAATTACATTTCTTTGAAAATACAAAAAAAGATGGCTCCGGCTGAAAGTAGTGTGAATCGAATCTCAAAACATCATGTTGGCAGTGAATATGTACATACACATTTTCATTTTCAAATAAAATAAATATAACTGCAAGAATTGAAATTAAAAAGATTTCTATTTTTTTAAGTAATTATAAAGACATATTTTGTTGAATAGTTATAAAAAAAATACTCCCTCTGGACCATAATATATGACGTTTTAGCAGCTCAAATTGAACTACTAAAACGTCATATATTAAGGTATGGAGGGAGTATGTTGTTAATGGGTCATTTGAATTGACATGACTCTTTGGTCAAAAGTCATGAGTGCATTGTACCATTATATATGAGGAAACCAGCACTCGGAAAAAGTGAAAATATAAAGACCCTTCTGGAGAAATTCAAGCAGGTAACCACTTGGAAAAAGCATGCCTCTGACCTGATTGTTGACGAAGAGTGGACTTTGACCTCTGAGCACACATATGTAGTGTATATTAAGAAACGCGAGTGGCCAAGAACAGATCATACCAAAATCTTGTGCGTACTCCACTACTAGTCCTCCCAACCATTCCTCGTAGAAACACCCTCGAACGGGGAAAGAGAATGGCTGAGAAGCGCCCCGACATGATCATGGAGCGTCCTTCGTACCATGCACGCAGCGCTGCTCTCCTGCTGGCTCTCCTTCTATGCTGTTCCTTGGTGTGCTCGGCCCCAGGTGAAGTACTCAGACTGTATCCTTCTCCTTTCTTCCCTCCAATATATAGAAGTCAGTAATTTTCATCTGTGCATGTGGTCACATGTGAATTGATGACGATAAAAATAATACATGCATGCAGTATTTCTGGACGGAGACCGTGACGGCCAACGTCCTCCGGCGCCTATTCCCTCGCATGGGAAGAAAACGGATTGCCCAGGCTGCGGCCACACCAGGCCGCCGGGGACATCGGCACGCCGGAAGACCTTGCAGGTTGCAGACAACGTCGACCCTTCCGCATGAAGCACCTCCGATACATATGCTGCATGGGATATAGTACTATGAATAGATCGTATGTAGTTACATGTATGATCAATGGGTTGTGCCAAAGATTTTAAATAAAGGATCAACTGGCTAGCTAGTTACATGTACGCTGAGATGTCAAGTCATGTCTGGCTGACAGGTACTACGTTGTGTCATACCTGGTCGGCAGGTGCTACGCACGACAAGGTCTTCCAGAATCTTCGTGTCTGGATGGACGAGTGCGGGGCAGACTGGCAAAGATGATGTGGATCTCTTTTCTGAAGAGGGTTAGCGGTCCGGTGAAGATAGCCGCGTCTAGAACGTACTAGTAAGTGCGCACGTGCAACATACGTCTATTTGAATTAATAAGTATGCACGCGCAATACGCATCTATTTAGATTAACATATTATACTAAACTTAATACAAGGCAATTTATTCATATACTTGAAATTTTTCTATAAAATACACTATCTCTTATTCCCAACTCGTACAAATAATTTGAAATATCGTTTTTCCTTAATCAACATATCTCCAGTATTAAAAGACCACCCACTTTTGACAATGTATAAGACTCAAAATTATTTAGAAGATTTATCATGATTCTTCATATGCACACATTTATGTAAGTATAGTCACACATGAAAATGTCACTTAGGACAAGTTAAGGAACCGTTTCAGTGCCAGCAAATTCCAGTCAAGAATTACACAAGATCGTCATGAACATATTTAAAGAGAAGTGACCTCTCTTTTTCCGAGATTGGTCGAACAACAAATTTTTGTATATATCTATCTGACGGTACTACATATATACATATAACGATCGCGATTTCCTGATAGAAGACGATAGGATACGCTCACGATTAGTTTCTTAATAATTAGATGCGTTCATGATTATTTATCTAATAGGATACGCTCACGATTAGTTTCCTAATAATTGGATGCGTCCGTGATTAATTTCCTAATAGGATGGCTCGTAATTATTTTCCTAATAATAGGATGCGCGCATGATTTTTTCCCTAATAATAGAATGGGTTTGTGATTGGTTTCCTAATAATTAGATGTGCCCGTGATTAGTTTCTTAATAGGACGTGTCAGTGATTATAGTTTCCTAATTGACCAGGCATGGACTTCCATATTTTCCTCCGCGATGGAGTACGGTCAGTCAATGTAAATTACTAAGTACACACAGAGAACATATTAGGTTAAGGCTAGCCGTTAGATTGAGTTTAATGGGACTAATCATATGATGGTAATGTATCTGTGTACGTTTTATGGGGTGCACTTAGAAAAAATAATGTTTGCTCTTTTATAAGTAGTATAGATATAGATGCATGTGGTGTACGCTTTAGGTCTGCTGCACCAATTGTTGGTTCCGATACATTATGTGGATGGATCGACGACGACACCAAATTTAGATGTGGGGAGTGAGAGAACTCCACATTATCGAGTTTTGTAGGTGTAAGTGGTGGCTTTGGGTGGCTTGATGTATATTCTTATTAGAACTTTGTTGAATAATAAATAAAGATAGTTGTATGCATCGACTGATACAAAGGCTGGGGTCTTAACCTCCTATTTTTTAAAAAAAAAAACTAGTTACTTGTACGTACGCACGCCCAGCTTGATTTTTTATGGACCTTGTTGTCTTGTCTGGCCTGTGTTGCTGTGCTTGGCGCTTGTGCATGAGGGATTGAACCACCTTACCAAAACCTGAAAACTGCAGCGGACAACGTGCTGCCCTGGCACATGCGTCTATTAAAAAATTTTATTAGGTATTAAAAGTTCTTATCATGTATTAAATCTTATATCACATATTTTCTATTAAAACATACAACATGGTATTTAAAAAATATTCAGCATGTACTCAGAAATGCTCATCGTGCATGTTTTTTTTCAAAACTGTTCATCGGTTATTTGAAAGCATTCCTCTGTTTTAAAAGTGTTCTTTGTGTATTTAAAAAGTGCATCTTGTATTAAAAATCTTCAATTTGTTTTTATAAATGTTCATCATGTATAAAAATAATGTGTATCTTGTATTTAAAAAAAATTCCCATCACGCATTCTTAAATAGCCATTGATAATGATTTAAAGACATGATGACCAGATTTCCAAATACAGATGAACATTTTTTATGTATGCGCTGAACATTCTCCGTGCCACATTCTTAAGCGCAGACATTGCAGGACCAGCACATCTACCGTGCGGGGATTTTGAGCTTTTTATTGATTCCCACTTTGTTTTATGGATTTTATTGATCCCCACTTGTGGACTTGGTAATTCCACGGTCTAAATTTCTCCAGCAGGCGGGTATGAGCAGCTTGTTGAAATTCCACGGTCTCACTTGAATAGTGCTCATGGCCGTTTGGTCAAAACTATATGCGTGCATTATACTAATAATATATGAAGAAACAGTCAACATCACAAGGACTTTTTCATCTAAGAAGATATCATAGATTTTCGTGAGAAATTAAAGGTCGAATGTGGACAAATCCAATTGCAGCCAAAGGAAACTTGCTGGAAACACAACATCTTTGTTGACTGCTGACAAAGGGAACTTTGACTGTGTGAGCAAATATAGGTATATATAAGCCTCTACGTACGCGAGCAGCTAGCAGGAAGAGATCATAGGTATCCGAAACTTCGGTGCAGCACCAGCCGTAGTCCAATTCTCCTGGTGCTACCATTCCTTGCGAGAAACACTGAGAAGCGCTGGCACGTGATCATGGAGCGCTCTTCCACACATGTTGCTCTCTTGCTGGCTCTCATCGTATGCTGTTCCATGGCATCCTCGGCCGCGGCAGCCCGAGGTAACTACTCAATTGTTGTTTCCCTTTCGCACACACTCTTTTCCACGAGAAACAAAAAGGAATTAATCTTCTATTCTTAAATAGCTACAACCCACTATCAATTTTTCCTAGACATGCAAACCATGCCACATAAGCAAATCATGCATGCAAGTTATAAATTACATTGTTTCCATATTACTCTATGTAGAATTGCCGCCACGTCATCAATTCATGCATGTTAGTCATAAGTTAATTTTACGTTAGATTGTGTATTGACAGTATATGTGCTAGGGCGATCAGAACTCATCTATGTAGTTCACCCTTCACATTTTTGTTAGAGACACATTATTTTAAATGCAATACAATTTTCCTCCTTTTATACCCTTTATCGCTTCCCATTAGTTCTAGATATTCCTGTAGCAACTTTATGCATTTCGTTTAAAAAGGTTCCTCCGGCAACACATGGGGCATCATGTATCTAGTATGTTTAATTATTATGTCTGGTCGGATTATGTGCATGCAGCTTTTGTGGACGGAAACCGTGAAGGAGAACGTCCTCCCGCGCCTTGGGCCTCTGGCAGGAGGTCAGCGGAGTGTCCAGGATGTGGAAGCACTTCGTCGCTGCCGGTGACAGCCAGACTTGCGCCACACCGAAAGAACCTGCAGGTTGCTGCGAACGTCGACTTCTACGCATGAATCAAATGTGGAAGTTTTTGTTGTATGCATACAAGTATCATGCACAGCCATGTTGATGCTCTCGCTATTGTTGTCCTCTTTTGTATGCATATATTTAAATTTTAATATAGAAAATGCCATTGAATAATTGTTCTATGGTTCTTGGCTTAAAAAAGTGGTGCTGCTATCATTGGCGTCGCCCAGAAGTGGCAAGCACGGTGCCTTCATGATCATTACTTGCACATTCTGGCCAGCGTCAGCAACGGGATTGTCACCATCATCGCTGTTATTGTCACAACCTCCTTATTTCCCCACCTCTCCATCCTCATAATCCTCCTTCATTTCCTCGTCGTCACCATCAGCTTCTTTGAGTCGTTGTAGAGTTACCTGCCATGGGAACCATCGGCGCAGGATGTTCCAAAGCAACTGACACAATGGCTAAATTGCTGTGCCATTTCATCATTGCTAATAAAATAGGTCATGCTGCAAGGAAAATCCCCTATGAGATTTTCAACCTTGTTCCACAGTTGTGGGAAAGATGCAAAAGGGAAAGGAAAAAAATAGCCTACATGAAAATACAAAAAAAAAGATAGAAAAAAAAGGATTATACCTTGACGTAGCTATTGGGCTTCATGTTGACATCCATCAAAATTTCTTTAAGCCTTCTGTATTGCCAAAGAAGCTATAATTCAGGGCGAGCTCGGTAACCATCTGCCAAAAAATGATGAACAATGTTTCCATTATAGTTTTAAAAAGCCAGTCCATGGTAATGTGACTTGCCATGTATATGTTAGAAAAAAAAGTTTCAATAAACATCATGCCAGATGCTGAAGGACCCATCGGCCTTTGTGTCTGCCGCGACAACCTTACCGGCAAGCTCGTGTGTCCAAGTGACTACATCTAAGCATTCAAAGTGCATATTGATGTCAAGCCATTTGACATCCAAGATGTGGACATACATATTCTACTTCATGAGTGCAAATACTTGTACTCCCCCGGTGTTTGCATCACGGGATGCAAACATTCATATTATCAAACATGAATCAAGTTAAGTCACCGAGTTTGAAACAGTAAAACAAATAAATAGAACATTTATGGCTGCATGCATCGTCCAGATGTAGAGGCCGGGGGTACATCCTCCTTTTCTAAAAATAAATAGAAAACACGACCACAACTGGTCGAACACGAGATTACATAGCTAATATATATAGTCTACAAGAGGCTCGTAAGCCAAACTGATTGAATGAAACTTGTGCAACCGATTCTAGCCGGCTGCACCCAGTAGTGATGACTACACATGTTGTAGTGATGACTACATCCATGAAGCGGTAGCCTTGTAGATAACCTGCAGTAACTCTTTTATTTGAATAGCCAAGAACATTGACCGGCCATTAAGTGAACTGACTCCATCAAGACGGTTCTTCAGAGTAGGTAGTACATAATATCCGATATCTCTACGTATCTATATTATACGAGAGAGGTCTTTGCGCTGCACAAGCCTTGCACACATAACTTCTCTCCGCCGTTGTCGTAGAGCCAATTGAAATTACTGAAAAACGGTGTTCATATGATGATATCTTCCTCTTCTTCCATGGTACGAGCCATGGCAGTCCTGGCTGTTATACTCATATGCTGCACCTGCACCCTGCCATGCTCAGCTGCCATCCAAGGTAACTTGTTCTACTAGGTTAACTCTGCTGCAGTAATGTATATATTCTCCGTATACACACCGTTAACTGGTGATGTGCATGCATGCAGTTCATACGGAGGGAACACGTGAGGGACAGAGCCCTCCGGCGCCACACTCAGCACCACGCCAGGGTACGGCATGCTGCCGCCGCCGCCCCAACGATACGCCGCCGGCACCTGCAGCGCCGCACCGCAAGATCCAGCAGCAGGCTGTTCCGGTGCCACCGATGTGATGGATTATCCTAGGCGAGTCTCGCAAAGTTTATCGTTTTAGTTGCCAGAGTAAAGCAGTGCCAGTGCCAGCGAAATGTTGCTAGAGTCCAGAAAACTAAGTATGGAGATGACTCTATCGTTCTTTTATGAAACAACAAATCTTTCAACAAGATGGCTCTGTGCATCGTTTCGTAATAATTTGTATGAGTTTTAATATCATGTACCTATTGTCATGTATGTTCCGACACAAAAAAATAAAGTGGATAAGAGCGTTCTTTCTAAGCTCATCATGTCTACCATCTCATTCCTCTCAATTTTCTGTAGTGCCGCTCACAGTACATGAGGCTAGAGAGCAGGAACAGAGCAAAAAAAAAACCATTTTCTCCTCGGGCGTCACCCCGCATGTGACGGGGAGGTCAACCTAGCCGCTGTCACCGCCGCCGCCTGCCCCCCTCCTCCTCCTCCCTCATTGCAAGCGGCGGCGGGGGTATCTTCCTCACCGCATGCTGGAGGCTGGCGCAGGCAGGCTTTCGGGGATCCATATACGGCGTTAAAGCAGCGCGCCACACCACGGCCTCGCACCGGAGCATGTGATGGCGCGCGGGTGTGCTCGTGGTGTGATGGGCTATGCAACGGTTGTGCACATTTGAAGTAGTGGCGTCGATCAACTCGATCTATTGTTCAGTCGCTGTGGGCTTAGGGCAGCGTGGGATGCCAGCAGATGCTTACATCGTGGCAGTTCACTGGCGGAGGTGGATTCGGCCTCCGCCTCCCCTCCTGGTGTAGGTATGTGGCTCGGTGGTCAGGGGTGGACCAATGGGCTGGTGCTGGTTGGCAGGGGCTCTTCAGGGAGGGAAGCAAGGGCATCCCGTCCTGAACGTCGACAAGGTCTAGAGGTGCCAAATCGGGATCAATGGGCAGCTACAACATGGCTTGCGGCTGTAGCTTTCCTTGCCTAGATCTGGCCGATGAGGGCCTAGTCATGCCAGGGTGCCTGCTTTGGGTTGGAAGGAGGGGCCTTCTGTCACTTACCGGGTGACGCCATCCATGTGCAGTGACCATAGTCGAGGGCGTCTCGGAGCCACAATTCTTGTGGTGGAACCCGCGACTCAAGTGTTGTCTAGTGGCCATGGTCATGTGGGCGGCGTGGTGACCAGGATGGTGGCGGTGGTGCGGCAGGTTTCTGGCTATACCACGTATCAATGGCAGTGAGAGCTGGCCGGGGTGAAAACATGTTCTATCTTTGGCAGGATGGTGGCGGTATTTATTGGCATAGCCCCCCTTATTGAAGGTGTCGTCGTGGTTACTTAGTACCCTCGTATTGCTAAATGGGAAACCCTGATCCTTGTATCAGGTGGTGGGGTCGCTCCGGCATCGTGACCTTCCTGGAGGCGAAGTGTATGAGCCCATGGTTCGTCTTGCACGGCTTCGTCTCTTCATGGTGACTCGTTCATAGTTGAGGGCTTCGGAGGCTTCACTCTTACTTGTTGTTTGCTTGGATTTGTATGGGGTGGTGTAGTTGTTCTTTAGCATCGATGTCCTACCTTGCGTCTGTGTGGTGTGGCATGTTGTTGTACGTGCTGAGTTGTTCAGTGGTTGTTGATTTACATATAAATTGCGGAGAGAGCCTTTTTCCGTTAGAGGGCAGAAACCTATTTATGAACTTCATTTCAGGTATATTTATTATTTTTGACTGTTCCTGGAAAATTCCATATGATTCTTGATTAATGCTAGCAACCACGATCAAATATGTCAGTCTTTACTGAGTCTAAACATACTAGTACCTAGCACACATGTGTGAGTCATATGCCATGATTAGATTGTTTGCATGAGATCAACTTCCAATCTATTCACCAGGGTCAACAGCCTGGAGCGCAAAACCAGCAACCCCGCCTTGTGTTGTCCTAGGAAAAGCACATATGTACACATAAAATTTCAGTAGAGCCAACTCAATTAATTTCTCTATTGTATTCCAACATAATCGTTCTCGGCACCTCGAGTATACTTTCTCTAGTGAAATTTGACAACAAATACCTATTGTCCATGTATGTTGCACGACAACATAATATATGGAAATTCCTAGCTTCATCGCGGGTCATGTACACTACAAGACAATGTATAGGATTACTATTCTTTTCTAAACTCATATTTTAGGTTTTTTCTGATCTTCTTAGGGGGTGGTGGGCATTGTGAGTTTTTTTTTCATGTAACAGATTGATTTTGAAACTGCAATGCCGACATCGCCATTTGAAAGTCTTCTGGTCCAAAGCAACACATCGAGTAACCATTGGCATGAATCATTAGAAAAAGTACCGCAATGCTCATAGGTTGCTACGAAGCCATAAAGAAATGAGAATTTGGACCACCGGTTGAGGAGATCATCAAAATATGTTGGTGTCTTGCCGCTATTTTACAGTTCGCGACTAAGAAAGAGAGAGAAAATATAACAACTGATCTTTCTATAGTTTGATATATAATGGGAAGAAATTGGATGGGAAGAGAAACTAAAACCAAGAGCATGATTTGAATTCGAGTCACATTTCTTCATTCGTTACTTGTATTTTTCACAACAATGGTGTACTCGTGTTAAGTTAGTGGCACACTTATTTATTTGTGCTATGTTAGAAATGTGACTAAAAGTGTGTTTGTTTATTTATTTCTCTTGGAAGATTGCTAGTCCCATGGGTGTATAAGTGCAGTTGTTTATTCGTGTTGTTGGTCCAACATTCTTGCCACATCTTTTATTAGAACGGTTCTTAGAACGTCGGTTTTTCGACAATGATTCTTGTCACATATGTATTGGAAACTCTTAGGGCACACAGGTGCGAGGGCACACAACTGCAAAGCCCAGCGCCAATACACGATTGCCTCGTGATTCGAGAAGTCATTGGTTCCAGTAGGGTTTCTAAAACCTAGAGTCCTGAAACTTGCATATTGAGTTTGGAAACTTAACGATTTTGTCATTCATTCATATTTAGTTTTGTTAGTGGAAACTTACCAAAGTTTGAAAAATTCATCAAAACATATGCAAAATGAAGCTTACTTCAAACGCCTCGTGGCAAGCTACACGATTCTGAAAACATATCTTAATTCGAACATTTCATTGAAAATATATGAAA